CATTAGTAGTAAGTGATGATTTTCTTTTCATCAGTCTCACGGGACACTCTCCTCATGCAAACAGCCTGCTGCCTTTCACACTTCTCTGACAGAAATTAATTGAAAAAGAAGCCCCTGAGAGGGAAGGGTGCAACATCATTAAAATAAAAAGTGCAGTGTTCAAAAGGACTGTTTCTGATCTTGTAGAGCTTACATATCTCATTGATTATAGAAGGCTTCTCACTGCCTTATGCCAAAGTGGTAGCACTTTACCTGTTGTGAATTGCGTAAAAGAATTCTACCAGCCTGCTTCTTTTAGAAAACAAGCAAACCAAACAGGGGCTATTTCTAAATAACTTAATGTTGCATCTATTTGAATAGATTCTCCTCATCTAAAATATAAAATGTTATTGATGGATTTGCATTGCAGATCAGTTCAGGGAGGGCTGGATTAGTTACTGAAAAATATGCAGACACAAAAGGGAAAAAACGTCCAGGGAAATCTTTTAAAGATTCTTGGGACCATGGTGCATGCTGTCATCAAACAATCCGTTAATCTGTTTATGCTTCATTCTGTGGCATGGATTATGGCAAGTGTGAATTCAGTTTCATGCACGTATCTAAGACATAACTTCTTATCTGCCTACTGACTAAACCTTGCCAATAAATTGGGTCAGAAAAAACTTCTGGCCGTTATGTCCTTCAGATACTTCTTTCATTATATCACTTTCTGTCTTTCTTTCACTCCCATGCAATATCTTTTTGGATCCCTCCAAGCTTGTTGCAACTTCTTTGGGAACAAATATTCAGATCTCGCAGTGACTGGAGTTGTCATATGCAGGAGTCATGCAAGGGCCATGTGGTGAGAATGGATGAGAATGTCCAGTTGTGCAAAAGATCCTGCAAAAATCCACTTAACAGTCATTCTCAGGTCACATAGTGGGCATGGGGACTTGTTACTGGGAGCAAGCAGTGGCAGCAGTCTGATTTAAGGGAACGTGCACTTTGGTATCTCCCATGTGAGAACTTCAGCATCTAACCTGTAGAAGTACCTGAAAAATAGACTAAAGTAGTGTAGTATTGAATATGTGAGACCTGATAGGTCTATGTAAATTTTTTGCCATTCAACATACAACAACTCAAGGTTAGCCTAGCATTAAAATAGCTGACTACTAGTCTTTAAGAGCTTGCAAGTGTCATGTGGATGCTGCAGTTAAGTGTCTTATTTTGTAGTAGTATACTTCTGCTGTACTATAGTCCTAATGACTTCACCTATGACACTGCAGAAAATGTTCACCTAAAAATGTATGTAAAAATTGTTTCATTACAGCTCCTGCAACTGTGTTGTTGCAAGAAAATCCATTAGGGAGCCGTTTCTAATGGTAAAGCAGAGGTTTACTTTCTTTTTACTATGCAGAACCACAGGAGAGGAACACCATGTTCACAAGGCTGCTGCAGGAGACAGGCTATCTGCAGGATGCTCTGTTTTAGTGAATCATCTCAGCAGTTTCTTCCAACATAACTCCTGTGGAACAAAGGGCAAGAAATTAAGGATGTTCCTCTGTTAATGGAGAGCAGCATGGAAGCCCTCCTTGCCCTTCTTTACAGTAATCTCCCAGAGGTACAGAAGACCTTGCTTAGGCACAAAAACATAATTTAAATCTTCCTGCATTAGCACTAATGAGACTGGCCCATGCTCCTCTTCTTAAATAGACACTTAATTCAAGCACTCATCAATAAAGCATTCCCAAGACATTGTGCTTCGTTGCATGAAGCACTCTTTTGCCTGTTGTGGATGAAGGAAGAAAAATCCCTTCCATGTACACAAGCACACATACACATACAGACCTCTCTATATATAGTTAACATGTAATATCTTATATATAAAATAGCAAAATGTAACCAAAAAATCAAATACAAATTCTGAAGTATGGTCAAACTAAATCTACGTATAGGGAAGGAAATTACTTCAGCTCACCTTGAAGTATTTTAAATACATTTTAAATACATCTGTCCTACTGTAACTTTCCCAGAGTTAAAGTAGTATACATCCCTCTTATTTTTTTAGTGCTGTTTGGCAATAATACAACCATAGTTAAAAAAAAAATAAAAACAACAACAAAAAAGCAACCTACATGCTGGTTAATCAAGCTTGATATTTTCTTCTGTCAGGGATAGATGTCAATTTTTTACTTTAGAGAGAGATGTAGATATATATTAAAAAAATGGCAACTTTTGTATTTTAGAAATTATTTGCCTGACTTCAGGTATAGTTTATTCTATGTTTTTCATAAGTGATTTTTTGTGATTGTTTTCTTCTTCAAACTAGTAGGAAGAAAATGTATCCACTATGTTAGGTCACCAATAACTGTGTTTATGAACCCAAACTGGTAAATACTGTAGCTGAAAAATACTCTTCAATACTTCAAAGTTATCACTAGACTATTTACCCTTTTAAGTACTGATTTTAAATTACACACTGTTTTTAAAATAAGCTCCTTTTCATGACTGCGAGCTGCTTCAGGTTGGATATGCACTATATTTTATGAAGCAGAAATAAAAGTTGGTTTCTTTTGTATCTTAAAAACCTCAGTAGAGGGAAAATGTTCTGTCTATAAATATTTTAGACAATTTCTGAAATGCTCTGCAGGATGCTACTTAAATTTTAGAGTTGGTAAATGCAGATTTGCAAATCAATTATTTTCTGAAAAATACGTCAGTGTGACCTAGTGATCTTGCTCCCTGTTTTCTTCATCAGGAAGATGGAGGATAAAGGTGTGTATAATAATCCTTGAGCAACATGTTGTCTGGCTTTTGATATCATTTTGTCTGTGAAAGATTGGTTCAAATTTGTTACACACACAGCAGAAAATACAGAAACAATTTACCACCCTGTTGTGAATTTTACCATATCTTTCAGTAATGATGCCTGAGACTAACAGAAGGGTTTGGGTAGAATTGTGCTAGCCAACACAGTGAGGAGACACGTGGCATTTAGCAGATATTTGCAGTCATCAAGGGGAAAGGTTATGTCAAAACCGTTGACAGTCTCATTCTGAAATTTTCTCATTCCCACTTATACTATAAACTGCTTGTCAGTAAATGCTAAGAGAAATTTGGCCTTTTTCTGCTGTTGTACAAAGAATCCAAAATCTCTCATGTGAATGAGTTAGCTGTGCTAAGGTAATTAGAAGAGGCAGGCAGACATTTTTCCTCATTTTGTATACTAGGTCCCCGAGTGAAAAAGCAGTTAATTTCCAATGCTCAAAGTTCAAATAAACACAGCAATTTATACCGAGTTTCCATTTTCTGTCTGCCTGATCTACCAGATTTTCAAAATACAACAGGACAGGTTTTAGCGATTTGAGAGACGACAGCCAGGAAAAGGCATTACAACATATGAGAAAAATTGATTGCATCGGCGATTCTCCCAAGTTCACACAGTGAGCTGCTCTCACGGAAGAAGTCAGGGAAAGCCTGTAAGGATGAGTTGTGGTACCCTGCACCTGGTGGTACCTCTCTGTGGCAGCTGCGCACAGTCATGACTTCTCCTCATCAAATGGCATCATGGTTATGCCAGGAACAGAGGAGTTGATATCTGGTTTGTGCACCGTGATGTGCATATACACAAGCACTTTGAACATGCCTTTGAACAAATCCTTTGCCCTTTGGGGGTTTTGGTATCGCTTCCTTAATGATAAACCAGGGAGTGTTGCTGGGGAAATCAGTGGACTGGTATACATCGCAACCACTTTGAAGAATTTTTCTGCTTCTTTCCTGCTTCAGTTCTGGTGAAAACACAGCCTTAGATTTGCTAAAGGGAGAAAGAAGAAAAGAAATATGATCAGATAAAGCCACCAGCTCCATTTTCTTCTGAAGCTAGATAATATAGAGCAGTATGATTATTCTGCTGTGTATATCCTTTAATCTTTCCTATTAAAGATGTTCAAATGTACTACAGAGTATATATAAGTAATCGCTCAGGCAAGAATAGGAAAATTCATTTCTATATCTAAGGTATACAACCTTTAGGAACCTTCTCTTTTGATAAATGAGTATTTGAGTACTGCTTGCAAATTTGGTTTTAGAGTATTTTCACGATTAATTGATAGAAAGCTATTAATGCCCTAACTGTTAGAGTGCTACCCTGAGAAGGAGAGGTTTCAGTTCCTTCATCTGAGTAGGTATTTAATTCTCAGTTTACCAAATTATAAGTAAATGTTCCAACCACAACCCAGAGAAAATGGGGCAGCCCCATTAATTCCTGTTTTGTTGAATCCAACCCACTGTTTCCTTTGTTTTTATTAAAAATAGTGAAAACAAAAAGTTTTCTAAGAAGTGGAATTCTTCTTTATGATAGAAAATAAGGGCATATGCTTAACAGGAACTAAATGCCAGCTTCAGAGTTTACACTTTGTACTGGCCCTCTGGCCCTCTGTTTAGAAATCAGTTTTAACTTAATTTGCTGTCTTGCAAGTACTGTATATGCCTTTCTCTTCATACCTCTACCCAATCTTATTGAGAATTGTGATTTGAAACACTAAGAAATAAGTGCCAAGATTAGTTAGAGAAGCTTACAATCCCTTTCATCATGTCCCAGAGGCAAATCTGGAGCCTCTTCCAGATTTATTCCATGATCCTAAGCAAGGGTCTGGCACCAGAACCTGAAAGCTGCTGAGCTCTTCCTGGACTGTCCACGCAATCCTGCTGCTGAAAGTCCCAGTAAGTCAGGAGATGCTTGGGTGATTTCCTGAAGAGTTGCTTAATACTCTTGCAGGAATCTGCCAGTGGCGTCTGCTGTCTCTAGAAGCCAGGGATTTCACAGCTTATGACCTCTGTTTATGTATTGGGTAGTCAAGAAAAAAAAGGTATTTGCAAAAGGTGTGATTTTTATTAGCTAAGTAATGTTCTGTGGCTGTCAAAGGTGTTGATTTTACATATTCAGTGCTACACACTTGTTCCATCATGTTTCGGAAACAAAACCATAACTGCAATAACTCTTCTTTCCTCTTTTGTTCCAGTTCCGCCTTTCATTCAGCCTTTTGAGTTCCCACGGTTCTCCATTGGGCAGCGGGTCTTCATTCCTTGCGTGGTGGTCTCTGGGGATTTGCCCATCACAATCACCTGGCAGAAGGATGGCAGGCCGATCCCAGCCAGCCTTGGGGTGACGATTGACAACATCGACTTCACCAGCTCCTTAAGGATTTCTAATCTTTCACTGATGCACAATGGGAATTATACCTGTATAGCTAGAAATGATGCAGCAGCTGTGGAACACCAAAGCCAATTAATCGTGAGAGGTAAGTAGATATAATTATTTTGAAGGGCACCAATTAAGCGGAATTAATCAGTATTTTGTAATTACATCTGTTTGATGGGAAGTATAAAAAAGACGGAAATATGGTAATCCCTCTCTTCATAACAGAAAGCACACAGAGAAATAAAGCACAGAAACTAATATAACTTTTTCTGTCTAAAAGTCTCAAAACTAATCAACGACAGTGGAATGCACAGGGTGGATGGGGGAGCCACAGGATTTACTTCCTTGAAAATTTTTGAGGCACAAGCCCATTCACTGGGATCAAACCTTCTAAATGGTATCAAATTCTTCTCTGTTATTGTTTTCATAGAATGGTTAGGATTGGAAGGGACCTTAAAGATCATCTAGTTCCAACCCCCCTGCCATCAGCAGGGACACCTTCCCCTAGACCAGGTTGCTCAAAGCCTCATCCAGCCTGGCCTTAAACACTTCCAGGGAGGGAGCATCTACAACTTCCTTGGGCAACCTGTTCCAGTGTCTGACCAGCCTCACAGTGAAGAACTTCTTCCTAATACCTAATACCTAATCTAAACCTATCCTCTTTCAGTTTTAGTCTGATTATCTCAATTTTCTATTTTGATCAGCATCTCATATAATATTATGTCAGTAAAAAAGAAAAGCATTAATGTTGACTTCATGGGGAAAAGATTCTTCCCCGTTACCATGTTGTTCTTTTTCTTATTTGTGTTTATGACACAATTAGCATGATTCATTTGCTCATGCTGACTTCAAAACATTTTGCCATGAAATAGAGGTGAATATATTTTTAGTAAGAAAATGTGGAAAATATGTGGATATATGTGGAAAAGACCTTTTAGAGAGATATTTTGCCTTCAATAGCTTTTACCTTTCAAGTCACACCTTAGCCAAGTTCCCTAGAGATGATGCCTTATGACACACTTTCAAACTTACTGTGCAAGACTTCAACAAAACTAAACTGCCTCCTTTCCTTGATGAAAGTTTTTCAAAGTGTTTTAAATTTCCATTTTTAAAAAATAAGACAGCTATACTCTTCCTTCTCCACCATCTCCCTCTTGCTACCAAACCATTAGACACCTCAGAGGAAGAGGGCACATACTGCAATATTGCAAATAACCCTGGTTAGTTCTGCCTGTTGCAGATCACTACATCTTAAATCCCCTTCAGTAAGTTTACCAAGGCAAACCTTAAAACCACTCAAGGCTTTTTGCCATCTCTTCCAGGCTTTTTTTCTCCCTCAAAAACTCATTTGAAGCACAACTTTCTGCACAGCTTTTCCTTTTAAGTCAAACCTTCCCACTGTCCCAGGACTACCCTTGATGGATTATTCCCATTTTCCACTTGTCAAATATTTTTTTAATGCAAGTGTTAGAAAAACACAGCAGCAGATAGGTCCATTGCTTTTTCACTAGTTTTGATATGAATATTACTTTAATGATTAACCCCCCCCTGCTTTTAATCATGTATTATTCAATACAGATGTCTATTACTTTCCCTTTCTATTCAGTAATTCTTAAATTAAGTGGTTTAATTGTCTACATGCATTTAATTATTCTTTTCCTAAGCTGTTCTGTTAGCTTTTAATGCATCATTATAATAGTAAAATATTTTCCTCGCCTTCTCTTTTCCTGAAGAAGGGAAAACTGACAATCTCCCATCACAACAGGCAGTCTACGGGCTATGTCTGCCCTACACAGAAATGCTGTATCTAATAACAACTGAGATCCTACCTGATTTGCAGTTATACTCAGTGCTTGTAGTGATGGGAATAAATCACTTTAACAACTATGTACGGGTGTGGGTTTCCATAGGCATTTAATCAAAACCGGGATGGTAGAATGATCTCCAGAAAAAAAGGGGAAAAAAAAAAAATCACATAAGTAGAACCACTGAAAACTGGCCCTCTGCAAACACTGTCTATCCTTTTTTCAGCACCAAGATCCATGAGGCTATAACAGCTCTAGGGAGCCCATGTGTAGGGATTTCTGCTCTGGACCCCACTGATTGGGGCAAGTCCTACCTTCCCCTAACAGCGTCCCCACTCTCCCTGCCTTGCCTGGAACACAGCGTCCCTGCCTTCTGCTGTCAGTGGGCAATTTCTCTCCTGGTAAGCCCCTCGCTGGCCTGACCTCTGTTCCCTGGACATGTCTGCCTCTTGCTGCCATGTTTGGCATTAATTCATTTGCCCTCCTTGTCCAGGGAAGGAGCTCTGGGGAGCCTGCTCTTGTATACCTTTCATGCCATTGACACCAACAACTCTATTTTCCCCCTGTGTGCTGCTGCTCTAAGTGCACATCCTGACGAGGGCTGGCTCTGCCCCAGCAGTGAGATGACAGCTATTGGGTGCATGTGCTGAAAGAATATCCTTATAAACACACGGCCATGATAGAGGATAGCTTTTTACTCTGTTTTACTCAGAGACTTGGAGCCTTTGGAGTCCTAGTCCTGCAACTTTTTAGAAGGCTATGAGGACTACTTCATTCTTCCCCTCTTGCTTATCTTTCTACCCAGCTAGTCCTCTGCAGCAGCCTTCTTTAAGCCTCTCCTCTCCTCTCCTCTCCTCTCCTCTCCTCTCCTCTCCTCTCCTTTTTCTCTATGCCAATTTAAATGCTAATGTCTTAATCAGTTTGCATATGCATCTGGGATAATAGTTCTTACTCAGCGGGAAAGGGGAAAATATGAAGTTTGATCTAAATTTTCTGCCAAAATACTGGTTTGACCTCTTTTAAGTAAAGACTCGCTTTCCTGCTCTCTATTTCTTCTTCAGGCTTTCTGATCATGTCTTTTTTTTTTTTCCTTAGGTGCTATATAACTGAAATATAATATTTTTCTAAATCAATTAAGCCGTTTTTTCTCCAAATAAGGGGAGAAGAAATAGTGCTTAAGTTTCTCTTGTTTCCAGTCTGTATTGGTTTCTCAGCAGTTTGCTTTAAACTTACATGTTGGTTTTCCTAAATGTCAAGGGTTGTGTTCTGGGAATATCTTATTTATGTGAAATGTGTGCATTTTGATAAGAGAGTAGACAGTGAACGGGAGAGGAAAGTAAAGGGAAATATGACTGTTTCCCACAAAGTTCCTTTTTCCTTATGTATACTGTCATTTTATTAATTTAAAAAGTAGACTTAAAAAATGGTTAACTATCATGTTTCCAGAATAAGTAGGAGTCCATAATTTTACAGTACACAGGTAGTTAGAAGTGTAATCTAAATCCACCCAGTTCATTGCTATGATGAATCAAGAAACACAGGCCAAGTACTTGTTCCTATTTGAACTATTAGTGAGTAAACAAACTTCTGCAGAATCCATACAGCCACATAAATTCTTTGGCTTTACAACTTGAGGTTTTTTTTTTCCTCAATATTTTCTCTGTCAGATTGCATGTATCTGCTATTTTTTAGCATTCATATTTTTCTGTTAAGTTTTAAGTCTGCTAAATAAATTTCCTATATTCTTCCTACCAATATTATTTTTCATATCTAAGCTGCACTGCCATTTTGCCAGGAGTATTAAAGGCAAAATTAAAACAAGCACTTAAAATCTGTGGGCATCTTATGGTAAATCTTCACTGCTTTCCCATTATTTTGTGCTCTATAAAAGCAATCAAGTGGCAATAAGGAACCCTAAAAATACCTAACCAGCAAGGCTGGATTTTCCCTACCTTAAATATCAGAGGAAGATGACTGGCTTCCACAGAACTTCCTTGCAGAGCATCACATAGGAGATGGAATGCACCTGCTGAGAGAAAGAAAGTGAGAGGAGAAAGCTTTTGAGAAGCTGTGCAGCCCTGGGTAAGATGATTTTAGGACAATCTCAGCTCTCCCTGCCACGAGTTTTTTTATAAGGACCTGGAAATGAGACAGAGTCACATGCTCTGGATATAGATTTGTCAGTACATTTCTCCACAATTTATTAGTCAATTTCAGACAAACTGGAAAAGGGAAAAATGCCTCCAGTGGAGCTGAAAGCCTAAAAACTTAACAAAAAGAGGTGATTGATTAGAAACATCTTTACTGAGTGTAATACTAGACTCAACCATGAGATACAAGTCCACAGAAAAGCAGTCTTGATTAGTCGTAATGCTTATGGAATATCTTTTAAAAGCTCATTAATTAGCCACTGTGAGAAGCCTACCATCCTCAGTGTATCTAAGGACTGCATGTAGACAGTCCAGGTGAGTGAAAACAAGGCTTTAGTTCTCAAAATCTTGTGCTCTGTCAGATCCTGGCCTGTAATTTGTCTGGAAATGCCTCAAAAATTTGCAATCTAGAAAGGTTTCTTAGAAACTCTTAAAGCATTATTATTTTGATTATTTTATTTCTTGTTGCACTCTTGGTTTGCTAGGCATGCTAGTAAGAGAAAGGTAAAAATAGGATTCTGTCATGAAAGCCATCCATAGAAATTAGGAAAATACCTTCTGTCAACTACTAACATCATCATGAGGAATTAATTAAGGCTTTATTAATTAGGGCTGTCTTCTACAGAGTGATTAAAAATCTATTACACTTTGTCATATGTTACTCATTTCTGTAGGTTTTCCTAAAATGGGAATGAAGTAATTATGAAATAAAAAGCAGTGAAAAATATTTTAATTGGTAAAAAAAAAAAAGCTCATAAATGTATTATGAGTTCAAAATTTTTCGTATGCTCTCAAAGAATTCAAAGATAGTAGTGGTTGCATAAATCATGATTTTAAAATTCCTGTTAATGAACACATCATAAGCTAAAATTGAGATAAGGTCTTTAAATACCTAATAATCCCCCTTAATGCATTTAGTACATTAAGTATAAATGTGTTTTCATTTTGTGCTTACCAGGAACATCGAATATCATTAGATAGTTAGGTACCCAATGAGGAGTCCCTGAGCCTTGAATCTTCCAGATAGGAAGTGAGCATCTGTCTGCCTTCTGATGTTTGGTGGTGGTTCTGGTGTGATGCAACAAATGCAGTTTGTGATAGAAAAGCAGGGGTAAAAGGTCTATGGTAGTAGCTGGTGTCAAAAC